ACGACGAGAGGAGTCGTAACGCATCGGCATCGGATGGGAGGGGGTTTTCTCTGCAGCCGTTTGGAGCGAGCGAGAACCTCAAGACGTGCGTGAAGCACGTGTTGGAGCAGCTGAAGAGCAAGGGCTTCGTCGTCGTAACGCGTTCGGGCGAGGAGGAAAAGGACACCACCGCCAAGGGAGATTTGTTGTTGAAGAAAAAGAGGGAAGACCGTCAAGCCGCGGTAATGGCCGCATTCATGGCCCAGCAGCAAGCGTTTCTGGACACGATCACAGACTCGGAGTCGGACGAGGAGATGGAAAACGTCCAACGCCAGGAGGAGGAGGAGGCCCAAGCAAAGGAGGAGGAGATGGAGAAGGAGGAGCAAGCCAACTGCGAGTGCGCCCTTTGCAAGGGGGAGATCAAAGACGTCCACAGCCTTTGCTGGGTGGGGCACGCCGAGGTCTCCTCCTTTCCCTCGAGGGCACTGAAGGAGGAGGAGCAGAGGGAGGCCGCCGCCTTGGATGCTTCCGCGAGCTGTGTTTTTGACAGCACGTATGGCATCCACGTGAAAACGTGCGGCCACAAGATGCACTTTGAGTGCTACCGCAACTACATCGAGAACCTCTTGGAGAGGTCGAGGTCGGGCCTGCGTTACGAGGGCATGAGCATCCTGAGTGTCGGGGACCAGGAGTTCCTTTGCCCCGTTTGCAGGAGGTTCTCGAACACTGTGGTTCCCTGCTGCCCGCGGGTGCCGAACCCGAGCGCCATCGCCCGAGTGACCCAGTCCCTGCAGCACTTTTTGACGGGGTGCTGCGACAAGTTCCAAACCTTTGCGAGCAAGGCCAACAACAACAAGGAGGAGAGCAGCAGCAGCAGCAGCAGCTGGATGATGATGAAGAAGCCGAATCTGCTGTACTCCAATCTGGTCGAAATCATCGGTTACAACGTGGCTCACTTTGAGGTTCTGCTGAGGAAGACGAAGACGAGTAATGGTTATAATTGGGTGGACGTCGAGGCCGCGAGGTGCGCCGGGAAGGGCCAGCTCCTGGTGTTGAAGGAGCTCACCTGCATCGCCCAAATGCTCACCAAATGCTTCAACCAGCAGCACTTGAACGTGGACAGGATGGCCACGTTCAGAAAGGTGAACAAGATCCAAAGGTTGTTGTTGATGGGTGAAGCAGCCCATGATGGCGGGAGTGAGGGTGAGGGTGATTACGACCGGATGAATTCCGGACCCGCGCTCCCTTTCGTGAGATCTTTCCTGATGGAGAACTCCCCGCCCGACGTGATCTCCTCCCACCGAGATTACTTTGAGGGCTTGAACTCGACTCGCAGCGTGCTCGAGGACGACCCGATCCGGGAGATCGTCAAGTACAACCACCCGAACTACAAGGCCGAGGACATCAGGAGCGTGTGCGACCCTTTCAAGCTGTTCATGGAGCTCCACTACTTTTGCGACGACGCGGGGGGTGCGGTGGACTTGGCCCTCAGGCTCTCCGTCTACCAGGCGGCGTGCTCGTTCGTGCTCAGCACGTACTGCAACGCGGTGAGCGAGCACCTGTCCCTGATGGAGGGGGAGGAGGGCAAAGGGGCGGCAGAGGTGGACCAGGCAGAGGTGGACCAGGCAGAGGTGGACGCCATGTACAACGAGCTCCAGGCGACGCTTGGCCGAATCTTGGACCAGGAGTACGGGGGTGCGCTCCTGGACAGGATGCTGGGTTTCGTCGAAAGCAGCGTTGCGCCTTTCCTGAGGAGGTCTTACGTGTTCAGCAATTGCCTGCGACAAAAATGCGGCTTTGACTTTGAGAACTTGGTCCGTAACGGCCTTCCGGAGACTTTGACTTTGGGGGGCAAGACCATCTTGGGGCACATGAAGGAGGCGGCCAGGGTCTGGGGGGCCCCTGGGGGCTGGGCCAGGCTCCGCGCCATGTGCCCCAACGTCCTGCCCCAGATCTTGGACGCGTGGTCGTCCAAGGCGCCGAGTCTCGGGTCCGTGTTTGGGTCCTCGCTGAACTACTCCCTCGTCGCCGAGAGCCGCCGGAGGCTCTTTCGGCCCTCCCTCATCCAGCTGCCGCACCTGTACCAGAACGCCCTGGTGGAGTGGCTCGATCGAAAGTGCCTGAGGTGCAACAAGGTGCCCAAGGAGCCGGCGCTGTGCCTGGTTTGCGGCCAGCTGGTTTGCTGCGCCGAGACCTGCTGCAAGGACGCAAGGGGGAGGGGGGAGTGCACCCAGCACTCCCTCGTCTGCGGCGCCAGGACGGGAGTCTTCCTGCTGCTGAGGCAGACCGCGATACTCATCCTCAGCGGCTCGCACACTTGCATCTACTCCTCCCCCTACCTCGACGCCCACGGGGAGGAGGACCCGGCCCTGAAGAGGGGAAAGCCCCTGTCTTTGGACAAGAACCGTTACGAGGCCCTGAACTTGATGTGGGCCACCGGGGGGTTCGACTACGACTCGAAAGTTTTGAGGAGGTCCGTTTTGAGGAGGGGCGGCGGCAGGGGTGGGGGTGTTGGTGGCGGGGAGTTTTAGTTTTAGTTTGAAGAAGAAGGTGTGGGTGGGAGGGGGGTGTGGGAGGGGGTGGGAGGGGTAACGGCAGCAGCAGCAGCAGCAGCAGCAGCAGCATTTGATTATTATTATTATTATATAGGAATGAATGATGTGATACAAAATAATAATAATAGAGTATTGTATTAGTATTATATTATTAGGATCAGCCGATCAGCTGCTGCTGTCGTAGTTTTTGAGGTGCGCCCGAGTGTACTTGTCGACCTTGCTCACGAGGTCCTTGTGGACGGTGATCTTGCCGCCCTTTTCGAACTTTTGGACCTCCTTCTCGAGCACACGCCGAAACAGCTTGTTGATGATGGTCTCCATCTTCTTCTTGTCCTTGTACAGAGCCTTGACCTTGTGCTTTGCGAGCCCCTTGACGCGGTGGTCGATCACTTCCCGGACCACCGCCTTGAAGCGGTCGCAGGCGTCCTTCCAAACGTAGTTGGGATCCATGTCCTTGAAGTTCTTCGTCCTCTTGTGGGCACTGGCCTTGTCGTTGGAAGCGGAAGCAGGAGGGTTGCTGGTGCTGGCAGGAGGATTGGCGTCCGCGGCAGGACGGGGAGGAGGACGGGGAGGACCAGGGCGAGGAGGGGGGGGACCAGGGCGATTACCAAAGAATGGGTAATTGTAGTCCTCCCTGGGCCTCTTGGCCCTCTTCTTGCCGTTGCCGTCGCCGTTGTTGTTGCCGTCGTTGCTCGACCACCTCTTCTCCCCGTAGGACGCTCTCCTGCTCCTCTCCTGCTCCTGCTTCTTGCTGAGCTCCTTGTGCAGCTCCGACGAGAGGTGCTTGTCGCAGATGCCCTGGGCCTTGGACGCCACCATCGCGTCCGTGTGATCCACCAAGCCGATCAGGAACGTGGCAAAGTCGCACTTTGCGGTCTTGGCCTTGGAGATCCTCTCCTTGCTGAGCGGCAGGGACGCGGTGATGTCCAGAGCCTTCCTCAGCAGCGGCAGGTACTTCTTGTCGTCCTCCTCGGTCCGGAACCTGTTCATCATCACCTGCAGCTTTCCCAGGATGTTGTGCCTGATGAAAGCCTCCCTGAGGCTCCGCGTCGGCAGCCGAAGGACGACGTCGAACATCAAGCCGATCTCGAACTGCGAGTGGTTCGAGTGCATGATCCTCAGCAGGTCCAGGGCGTTGTCCTCGCTCTTCAGCACGCCAGTCCTCGTGGTGACCTCGTCCAGGATCCTCTCCACCTCGGTCTGACCCCTGACGGCGGCGTGGACCTTGGTGGACGACGACAGCCTGCGGCGGTTGGAGGAGGACGATTGGATGTGGGAGAACTCGTCCTCCACGTGCTTGCTGACGATGAACTCCGGGGCCGGCTCGTCCCTCGCGGGGTTGTAGTTCGTCAAGGAGCTGCTGCTCTCGGGCTCCAAATTCACTTGGTTCGCCTGCGGGGCCTTGGACCCGATGAACCCCCGGCAGTTGGGCTCCCCGCACAGGCACTTGAGCGTGGACGTCTGCTGCGCGTCGTTCTCAAAGTGGTAGTCGAACGTGAGCTCGCCCCCGGCCTTGACGTCCTTGAGCGCGAACACCCCGATGCAGAGCTCCCCGTTCACCTGCCACTTTTGCGTCTCGCAGTTGGGCTCGCACGAGTGGTTCAGGAACCTGGACAGGTTCCCCTTCTTGGTCGCATCGATCAGCTCGCCGTTGGCGATCGACATAAAGTAAAAGTGCCTCCGCCCGCCCTCGCGGTACTCCACCTTCCTCCTGGCGTGCTCCTCCTCGTCGATCACCTCCCCGACGTACTCCATCACAAAGTCTCCCTTGGCGAGGTCCACGTTCGTCCTCAGGCCGTACCCCTTGGGCCCCGTCGGCGGCATCAATGAAACGTCCGCGTACTTCCTCCTCTGGAACCTCGTGTTCTCGCACTGCTCCCCGCACGCGCACCACTTTGGATCGCACTCCACGAACATCATCCGATTGATGCAAGCATTGCTCGAGCACCCTTCTGAATCTCTCGAACAGTCGCACACCATGATGTCATCCGCACGAGGACGACGACGAGGACGGTGAAGGTAAACGTTCTTCGGGATCACAGTCACCTTGTACGTAGAAGAAGAACAAGACGAAGACGAAGGCGGCGGAGCCGAGCACGGAACACACGACGCCACCGTGCCGCCGGAAGCCGCAGCCCTCGTCGTCGTCGTTGTTGTTGTTGTGTTCATCTTCGTCGTTTCTGTCGTCATCGTCATGGGGGTGGATCAGAGTCAGAGTGAGAGTGAGAGAGTGAGCGGTCGTCTGTGTGTTTGGTATCAATGGAAAGAGGAGGAGACGGCGGTTCTTGTTGTGACCGGTTCTCTTGAGTGGCTCGAGTGGGTTTCCCTCTCCCTCTCCCTCTCCCTCTCCCCCCTCTCGTGCGCGCGTTCTCCGGGTTTGGCGTGCTCCCGCCGTCTTCGTCGTGGCGCGAGGGGCCCCCCTCTTCCAGCGAGAAACGTATAAGGGAAAATTTGTCATTTAAACGTGTCGTTCTGGCGCAGCGGTAGCGTGGTGGGCCCATAGAGAAACCCTGCATGGAATCCATGCTGCTCGATATGAGAGACACCCACAGGTCGGGGGATCGAGACCTCCGAACGACATTTAACTTATGCTCCGGGAGACAAGGATTCGGTGAGTGACGTTAATTATACAAGGATCACAACGAGATCGTTGATCGTAACGGCGGAGGACGGCGAGGAGGTGTGTGACCTGGCGGGAGCTGGAGAGGGGACCATGGTCTTGGTCAAGCACCACCCGAAGAAGAAGGGGAGGGCGACGAAGGGGAGGGCTCCCAGATGGAGCGAAGGGGAGAAGCGAATCGTGTTATCCCACGTCGAGAAAGGAGGAGGAGGAACCAGGAAGGAAAGCGAAGGTCGATGACAGGTTCGTCGTGAGACATTGTTCTTGGTTACGAATTGGCATCGATCCAATCGATGACGTGCAGGCGGTTACGGCGCTTCGCCTGTATTATGCACATCTTTGGTTCCCAAGGGCAAGGCGGATTCTGGCTTCGAACCCACTGCAGAACCTCAAGGTGACCTCCAAAAGCTGCATTAGAACAAGTCCTCCAGTGCCAATCACAAGGCGGGTCCTGGCTTCGAGCCCACTGCAGAACATCAAGGTGGCCTCCTTGAGCTGCACCAGCACAAGTCTCCTCGTCCCAAGGGCAAGGCGGATCCTGGCTTCGAGCCCACTGCAGAACATCAAGGTGACCTCCTTTAGCTGCCCCTCTACAAGTCCTCTCGTCCCAAGGGCAAGGCGGGTCCTGGCTTCGGAGCCACTTCAGAACGTCAAGTTGACCTCCTCTAGCTCTCTCCCTCCTCCCCCCTCCTCCCTCTCCTGATCCTGTCTCTCCACCACTCACTCATGAATCACTCCTTATGAATGAATGACACACAAAGCCAAACTCAGCAACAATGATCCCATGATCCCATGACCCCATGAGTCAATCCCTCCCCTCCACCATCATCCACCATCCTCCCTATCCTGATCCTGTCTCTCCACCACTCACTCATGAATCACTCCTATTGAATGAATGACACACAAAGCCAAACCCAGCAACAATGATCCCATGATCCCATGACCCCATGAGTCAATCCCTCCCTCCTCCTCCACCATCCTCCCTATCCTGATCCTGTCTCTCCACCACTCACTCATGAATCACTCCTATTGAATGAATGACACACAAAGCCAAACCCAGCAACAATGATCCCATGATCCCATGACCCCATGAGTCAATCCCTCCCCTCCACCATCATCCACCATCCTCCCTCTCCTGATCCTGTCTCTCCACCACTCACTCATGAATCACTCCTATTGAATGAATGACACACAAAGCCAAACCCAGCAACAATGATCCCATGATCCCATGACCCCATGAGTCAATCCCTCCCTCCTCCTCCCCTCCTCCCTATCCTGATCCTGTCTCTCCACCACTCACTCATGAATCACTCCTTATGAATGAATGACACACAAAGCCAAACCCAGCAACAATGATCCCATGATCCCATGACCCCATGAGTCAATCCCTCCCTCCTCCTCCCCTCCTCCCTATCCTGATCCTGTCTCTCCACCATCCATTCACTCATGAATCACTCCTTATGAATGAATGACACACAAAGCCAAACCCAGCAACAATGATCTCATGACCCCATGACCCCATGAGTCAATCCCTCCCCTCCACCATCATCCCTCCCTCCCTCCCTCCCTCCCTCCCTCGCTCGCTGCTGATCATGATCATGATCGTGATCGTGTGGCTGGCGACGGCGCCCCCCTCTCCTCCTCTCGGGGGTTCAGATCAGCAGCGAGGGATGGAGACTCCCTGGTTCGACGAGAGGGCAACCACGACGACGACGACGACGACAAGCGAGAAGAAGAAGGCGATGGAGAAGCTCAGCATCAGCGACGAGGCTGGCGGCGAGTCGAAGCAGCAGCAGCAGCAGCAGCCGAGCAAGAAGCAGCAAAAGAAAAAGAACAAGCAACAGCAGCAAGGGAATGAGGATGGGAAGCCTAAACTGAGTCGGGCGGAGATCAAGGCGCAGAGGTTGGCGGCGCGCGGTGCCAAGGGTGGGCAGCAGCAGCAGCAAGAGGATCCTCTGGCCCACAAGTACGGAGACATGAAGCTCGTGCAGTCGCAGACGTTGAATGCTTACGAGTTCACGGAACTCTCCGCTTTGGAGGAGAAGGTGAAGGGAACTGGGGATGGAGAAGTTTGTCAAGTGAGGATGAGGGGAAGGCTTCATGCGGTGAGAGGGAAGGGAAAGAGCGCCTTCGTTGTCCTCAGGAGCGGAACGGAGACACTCCAGTGCGTCTTCTTCGTCGACAAGGAGTCCAAGGTAAGCCAAGTCCTCCTCCTCCTCCTCCTCCTCCTCGCGCCTTGGGAACAAAAGCTAAAGCTCTCTCTCTCTCTCTCTCCCTCCCTCTCTCTCTCTCTTGTGGTGTTTGTTTGTTTGTTTGTAGGTCGTGAGCAAAGGAATGATCAAGTACGTGACCGGCTTGTCCAAGGAGAGCATCGTGGACGTCGAGGGCGTCGCCGTGGTCGCGGACAAGCCCGTGGATGGCTGCAGCATCAAGGGCGTCGAGATCCAGGGAACGGGGCTGTTCTGCGTCTCCAGGGCCGCGCCACTTCCCTTTGACATCGCGGACGCTTGCAGGAGGGAGGACGACACCACCGGCGGAACGGTGAACCAGGACACCAGGCTCAACAACAGGTACATCGACCTGCGCACGCCAGCGAACAACGCCATCTTCAGGATCCAGAGCGCCGTCGGCCAGCTCTTCCGCGAGAACATGCTTGGAAGGGACTTTGTGGAGATCCACTCGCCCAAGATCATGGCCGGCTCGAGCGAGGGAGGCTCGTCCGTGTTCGAGCTCTCCTACATGGGGAGGCCTGCCTGCCTCGCGCAGAGCCCTCAACTGTGCAAGCAGATGGCCATCTGCGCCGACTTTGGCGGAGTCTTCGAGATCGGACCCGTCTTCAGGGCCGAGAAGAGTTTCACCCACAGGCACTTGTGCGAGTTCGTTGGCATGGATTTCGAGATGCCGATCAAGGAGCACTACTTTGAGCTTCTCGACGTGATCGACGACTTGTTCGTCTACATGTTCGACGGCCTGAAGCAGAAGAAGAAGGAGTTGGAGGCCATCAACGCCCAGTACCCCTTCGAGCCCCTCGAGTACCTCAGGCCATCCCTGAGGCTCACCTTCGAGGAGGGCGTGAAGATGCTCCAGGAGGCCGGCGTCGAGATCGACCCCCTGGACGACCTTTCCACGGAGACGGAAAGGCTCTTGGGAAAGCTCGTCAAGGAGAAGTACAAGACCGACTTTTACATCCTGCACCGCTACCCGCTGAACGCCAGGCCCTTCTACACCATGCCGGCCCCAGACAACCCGGACTACACCAACAGTTACGACGTCTTCATCAGGGGGGAGGAGATCATCTCGGGAGCGCAGAGGATCCACGACCCAGTCCTCCTAACCGAGAGGGCCAAGGCCTGCGGCTTGGACGTGGCTACCATCGAGAGCTACATCAAGTCCTTCTCCTACGGTGCCCCGCCTCACGGCGGCTGCGGCGTTGGTCTGGAGAGGGTTGCCATGCTTTACCTCGGCCTGAACAACATCAGGAAAACGTCCTTGTTCCCAAGAGACCCCACCAGACTCACCCCTCCGTAATAATCAGACGGCAGAAATCAAAACACGCCGATAACGACGACGACGACGACGACGACAATATTCTCAATGAATCACGAATTATTATTCCTTTCGTTGACCCTCATCGAGGCAAGAGACGATCTATCCATCCTTACCAATGCCACACACACACACACACACACACACACACCTCCCTCTCCCCCCTGCTCCTCCACCATCACCATCATCATTCCACTTCATCCCAATCGTGTCCTCTCTCTCTAGGGAGCAAAAGTGAGCAAGTGAGGGCTCCTTGGAAAGAGCAAGAGACGATCTATCCATCCTTACCAATGCCACACACACACACACACCTCCCTCTCCCCTTGCTCCTCCACCATCACCATCATCATTCCACTTCATCCCAATCGTGTCCTCTCTCTAGGGAGCAAAGTGAGCAAGTGAGGGCTCCTTGGAAAGAGCAAGAGACGATCTATCCATCCTTACCAACGCCACACACACACACACACACCTCCCTCTCCCCCTTGCTCCTCCACCATCACCATCATCATTCCACTTCATCCCAATCGTGTCCTCTCTCTCTAGGGAGCAAAAGTGAGCAAGTGAGGGCTCCTTGGAAAGAGCAAGAGACGATCTATCCATCCTTACCAATGCCACACACACACACACACACACCTCCCTCTCCCCCCTGCTCCTCCACCATCACCATCATCATTCCACTTCATCCCAATCGTGTCCTCTCTCTAGGGAGCAAAGTGAGCAAGTGAGGGCTCCTTGGAAAGAGCAAGAGACGATCTATCCATCCTTACCAACGCCACACACACACACACCTCCCTCTCCCCTTGCTCCTCCACCATCACCATCATCATTCCACTTCATCCCAATCGTCTCTCTAGGGAGCAAAGTGAGCAAGTGAGGGCTCCTTGGAAAGAGCAAGAGACGATCTATCCATCCTTACCAATGCCACACACACACACACACACCTCCCTCTCCCCCTTGCTCCTCCACCATCACCATCATCATTCCACTTCATCCCAATCGTGTCCTCTCTCTCTAGGGAGCAAAAGTGAGCAAGTGAGGGCTCCTTGGAAAGAGCAAGAGACGATCTATCCATCCTTACCAATGCCACACACACACACACACCTCCCTCTCCCCCTTGCTCCTCCACCATCACCATCATCATTCCACTTCATCCCAATCGTGTCCTCTCTCTCTAGGGAGCAAAAGTGAGCAAGTGAGGGCTCCTTGGAAAGAGCAAGAGACGATCTATCCATCCTTACCAATGCCACACACACACACACACACCTCCCTCTCCCCCTTGCTCCTCCACCATCACCATCATCATTCCACTTCCCATGTCTTCCTCGATGCTTTGATTCTCAGAACAGAGACAGACAGAGACAGAGAGAGAGAGAGAGAGAGAAGAGTCGAGTATGGCTGGAGGTTGCTGCGGAGA